AAGCACAATTATATTTTAACATGCATCATAAAAACTTCCATTGCCCTAAAATTTTTAACTAAAATTTTATATACAATATGCAAGATTTTGTATAATACATGCTGCAAATACAGTGGATAAGGTGTACTCACAGAAAGAAAGATATGACTATAGGAAGTCTTGTTGAAGCTAGTATAGAAACAGCACTGTATATAGACTTCCCCAGACCTGATACATGCTGAACTATATATCCTTCAGATACAAATGGCAGGCCTCTCCAGACTTGTCAGTTGACCAATCACAGCACAGCTCTGACATGATCAGGTACGTCAGAATGAAATACACTGACTAATCAACAGGAAAACTGCAGTTGTAAAGGAAGCCCTTAACGCACAAAATATGCTATAAGAAGTTATAAGTTAGGGTTAGTGGTTGCATATCTAAAGTTTTACATATCACTACAGAAATTGTTTAAATATTCAACTTTAGAACACATACAACTTTAGAACACATGCGCAGTTTACAGTCTACAATCAATGCTTAGGACAATAAAGAGATTAAAGAGATCTTTCTACTGACTCTGACCAAAAGAATGATGCCTAGGGTTCCTCAACATGTTAAGCTGGCTCAACATGGTGTCCTCCATGGCAGACGTGTTTGCTTGCTCCACTCTTCAACGCTGTGTTTTTGTGTATCTTGTTTTTTTTTTTCATAAGTGCAAAAATGTTATGCATTGATAACTTAGCAAATGCTGTTAGACATCACTAGGTTGCAGCATGACTCTGCATACACCAGTTTTATACCCCTAGACTTGTATTGCATTGTTCGCCCCACATGTGATCACGCCATCCATGAGAAGGCCTCCCCACACTGCACACAGGTGAAAAAAAATGTAGACACAAGCAAGGCAGTCACATTCGTCTGCATCACCTACCATAAGGACAACATCATCCTGAAGTTCGCTGACGATACCACAGTGATTGGACTGGTGATGACGAAACAGCATACAGCAGTGAGGTAGCAAGTCTGGTGAACAACAATCTCACCCTCAACACAGATAAAACCAATGAGGTGATTGTAGACATGAGGAAGGAGAGGAAATCTCACTGGCAACTGATCATCCATGGGCTTGGGGTGGAGAGGATGAGTTGCTTCAAATTCCTGGGTGTCTATATTAGTGATGACCTCACTTGGTCAACTAACACCAACCGGGGGTGCGTTTCCCAAAAGCATGGTTAGCCATCTATGGTCGCAAGTTCTGTCATTACCAACATCGTTCAACAATTCGGTGTTTCCCGAAACCATAGTTCAAACGAACAT